CCCCAAAACCCCAAAACCCCAAAACCCCATTTAATTCTCAAGATGTTGAAAGATTATTTAACAATATGGGTGCCTCTAATACTAAAATCCAATCAAGTTTTTGATGTGCAGTAGAGAGAAGAGATTGTAAAGATAAAAGTGATACTTCAAGTAAAAGAAAAGTCAAGGGACTACAAGACCATCAAATAGTGGATACAAATTCTAAAAGTAATGACACTTTAGCTTTGTTTTCACAATGTTCCAGAGCTCTAGATTTCTTTTGATTACACTCCAAGAAATGGTTACACTTTATAGTTGGTCTTAATTTAGCTACTTGATGTTAGATTATAGAGCCTATTTCTTTGTAAAATAATGAACTCACTTCTCTAACTCAACCAGAATAAGAGATTTTGAAAGCTATCTCCCGAACTCTACTACTCGCTTTCTCTTGTCTTCTTATCAAGGCTTGGTAAAATAATGCTATATTAAGGTTAATTCTGGGAATTTTATGTGCTCCTTGTTGCAATTGTAACAATAGGACTCACCATAATCGCAAATAACGCTAGAGAATTAAAGCTTTCACTTAGAAATAGCTTCAGCATTGTGGGCCATATTTAAATAAAGCTTGACTTGCTAAGAAAAGTTAATATTTCCTGCATATTTTGGTCGGAGATTCATTGACGACATTTTCTCCAAATAACTGCACTTCTTCGGAATGGGATAGTAAACGAACTATGCCTTGAGCTAGTTAACGATGTGATGATAAATCATTTGGTTGTTGCTTTGCTAAGTTCCAGGCTTTATAGAGACACTTTGGATTTTATTCCTCTTTTGAAATGCCGAAAGCCTGATGGATCATAGAAATAATTATTTCAATATTTTCATAATTTGATTCGATTTCAGAATGAGTGATTAATTTATGGTACAGTTTTTAGGAATACAGAATCATAAGACACTTTATTTGCTTACAAGTGAGAGCTTGAGAGTGCTAAAACAATTTTTTGTTATTATCTAAAAAATTTGGAGATTATTAAAAAATGATTCTTACATCATTTATAATTTCGTTTTGTTATTAATCATTATGGTCGCTTGTCTTCGGCTGAGTTCATTAATCCAATAGTCTTCAAAAATATTTGAAAGAATTCGATCTCATCTAGTAGCTCTAATCCTATATACGGACTTGAAAATTGCACTCTTTGTGTTATTTAGCTGTATATTAATAACTTTATGTAGCCAAATTAGCTGAGCAAGAAAAGGTGCAAAATAAACAATCCTCAAAAGAGTATAAGAAGAGACTCATGAGAACGAAGCCTAAAAGGTATATTGTTACTAATTTAAGTTTAGTCAGAAAATTTGTAAGGAAAAAGAAAATAAGTAAGTCATTGTGTTTATATTATGTTAATAATCTTTAATAGAAACAAGGCTTTAAAGAAACCCCAGAAAAAAACTAGCAACAAAGAATCAATAACAGGCTGGGATAAGCTTATGAGTAGTATAGAGCTCACCAAATTCAGCAAAAAGTTCAGCCCTGCTGAAATTAGAAGAGCTGGACTGTCAAACACCTCAGCTTCTAGATCGTAAGTCTAATTTCTCCTCCCTCTAATTCCACTTAGAAACCTTCATAAAAGCACTTCCTCAGTCTCAAAACCCTCTCCATTCTCCAAAGGTACCCTCCCTCTAACCTGTAGTCGCTAACTTCGACTTCTTCAAGGTCACAAGCGAGTACTCTTCCCCTTCCAAAAGGTCCAAACCCCAAAACACCCCCCTCAAGATCGACAGCTGCTACCTCACTAAGACCAAATCACAAACCTATCCTCCCAAAAAACGCTCTCAGTTCAAAACCTCAACTTAGCCTTAAAATTTCAATTACTTCCCCTCCTTCAGGGGTTTTGGGGTTTTGGGGTTTTGGGG